TCCGTTACGTACTCGGGCAGGTCTGCCCTGGCTGCAGTCCGACTCCCAGTCCAAGCCATGACAAGCCGAAATCGCTTTCTCAGAGCTGGGCGCAGCCAATCGCTTCAACCGCATCCGGAACTGACCCACGTTGGCATCCTGATGAACCAAAGCTACACAGGCTTCTGAGCGAACAGCATCACGACAGGACATCACCTACCTTGCTGGACATGCATGTAAACGCAGCTGCCAATCTCTGAGATCTGCACTCGGTCGGCCCAGGACAGAATGACCTTCTGCGACAATTCTAAGCGTGAATGAAGCGGATAGCGGCGGCGTTTAAGCTACACAATCGCATGGCAGGGAAGGCCAGCGGCCTCCATGAAAGCTGTGATTGCAGGACGCAGGTCGATCTGCAGGTCGGGCTGCCTTGAGTCAGGCTTTTTACTTCCATTGCTGCACCAAACCTCGCACATCTGAGGGATGAACGCTCCAGCTTCCGGTGTAAACATCAATCCCAAGAACATGCCGCACCTGCTCTGAACATAGCAGACGATATGCCGTCGGTGGCTCGAACAGAGGTGCCAACCCAAATGGCCAATTGGCATCGCCGTCTTTTGGCAGAGTATACCTGGACGGACATGCTGCATGCTGCAAGGGAAGCTGTGAATGCATGTCGAGGGGTGGACTGTAGGGGATTTGGATGAATTCGCATCCCATTGACCTGTAAGTGTGAGCAAGTTGGGTTCCGGCAAGGCAGCATGGGGAGCAAAGTCATCTGGGCATCAGACCGCTTCCAACTGCATGACGAGAATCCGGAGCTTGCTTTCCACCCAGCCACTGAACCTGGGAATCTGGAGCTTCATGAGAACATTTTGAAGGAAGGCTGGGGCAGAAAGGGACGCAGGGGCCATTGCTTGTTGTACACATCTTCAGACGTTGCCAGGATCTGAGGCGGGGTGTAAAGCCCGTCACAGGCGAGACGTAAGACTGCTTGATGCAGAGCTTGCCTCGATCATGAGGAAATGCTTAAACTCGTCGAAAAACGGAAATGGGGCATAAACCTTGGAAAGTCGTCAGTGCGAAGCTGCAAGCAAGCACTTCTCGAAGATGTCACAAGAGCACGTACGCCGCCAGATCGGAGTTCTGGCTTCGAAAATAAAGTGTGTGTTGGAAAAGTGTTTCGAGAAGGCCTCTACAACATCTCGCCTAAAGCTCGGAGGCAGTCTGTTTTGGTCTGATTGCCACGATTCGATTTTCACTCAATGCCCTGCCCACGGAAGCGAAGCCCTGCGACTGCCTGCCAGATGACGAATCTAGATCTATACCTGGGAATGGGCAGACGCATGAGGAAGGCCGTAGCACCAACAACGTTAACGATGGGAGGGAGCCAGGTTCTATTGCCCGAAACAAGCGAGCTTTGCAAAAAGACAACGCCGCGTTCCTTCTATGAATGAGGGCACGGAGACCCGGCGTGGGAACTGTTCATAATGAAAGAAATCTCATCTACTCAGTCACAGACGTCGCTCCATTCTGCCTGGCATGTTGGTTCGGGATTCAGGGACTGGCTTGGGTAGGATTCTTAGTGTTTTTTGTGTTTGGGATTGGGCTTGGCTTCGTGGGGTGGAGGTCCGAGAGTCCTAGAGTGGTGCCATGTGGTGCCAGTAGGCCAAACTAGGCAAGGTGTAATCCTCGGCGCTCAGCGGCCTTGTTGCCTTCGACGTTCTGCACTAACTCGAAGCCCCGCTTGAACCTCAAGTGTCAAGGGCAGGTTCAGGACACAGGATGCATGGTTTTTTGATGCCAGCGAAGACCCATACTCATCCAGCAGGATTCGCTTTGTCGTCTCGGTCACCTTAGAAGCATCTGAGTCTGTTGTGCGCCGCGAAGACATGAGCCAACCACCATGTCTCTGGCATTGTGAGTGGAATTCATTGATGGAAACGCGGGCGTTATCACAGGCATCACCTGCACATCGCAAGTACTTGGCGGCGCCAAGAGCATTCGTTCTTATCGGTCGATGTATGTCCGAGCAGCATGTTGTCGGTCTGCCGGATTGGTCTTTGGGTTCCAGACCTCACAGATCCCCCTCTGACAAATGCCGCGGGAAGAAGGCCCGGGCCTTGAACGAAGTCATTCCCGGAACATTGGCCTGGCTGATTCCGACGCTTTATCGATCCGGCAGCCGTCGGCCCAAAATCTGGCCCGCAACTGGGGGGACGGAGTGAATCAGCCCAGCTGCTGGATCAACGATGTCGCAGAGTGTCACGGGCCTTGAATGTCCATGCAATACTCAGGCATAGAAACTGGCAGCTGCACCTTGTCCAATTCCATTGGTGGTACAAGCGGAAGAACCTGTGTGGCCCATGGCCAGGTCAGCTTTCAACATGAATGCGCATCATTGCGCAAACACAGCTCCCGAGCTAGCTGGACACATCTTGCAAACGAGCAAGGACCATGTCTGCTAGACTTTTGGCCTCAAGGTCGAGGGCACAGCTCAACGACACAGCACCACAGCTCGCAAAGCTGTTGGGCATGATCCGAGGACAGTTCGACTAAGAAGTGAGAAGGCACTTGCCTTTCCTTGCAATGTGTCACCCGTGTTGGGCCACTCCACCCGCTAAGCAAAGCAACTTCTGCTAAATTTTATCACGCGCATCCGGCTTTTCGGATTTTCCGGACCGGAAGGACCATTTGAAGAAACTCCGCCCACCGTGTATTGAGGGCTTCCGCTTCGCCAATTGCTCATTGATCTTCTTCAGGTCCACATCCGACACCTGAGGGACCACGGAGCAAGGCATAAAGGATATTGATAATATCATGGATATCTGCGACTTCCGGACTTCCGGGCCTCTGCTTCTTGCTCTGTCCTTCGCTTCTCCCTCGATGCCGAAGACTCGTCCGGCGTTGGTGGGGCCGTCCGTGTCTGGTTCCCCAATGATGGTCTGGACTGGCTGACATCTTTCTGCGAGGAGCTCTTGCCCTGACTTCCCACAAACCATATGGCAGGCATTTTAGTGTTAATCCTGCCTGACCTGTGCGGTTGCTCCTCATTGCATGCCACCTTGTGCCCCGATGTTTGAACCTGAATTTGAACCTGAGTGCTTGATTATCTCTGACTGCTTGGAGCTTCGCCCGACCTGCACAGAACTGAACACGGACATTACTTAACCCACGTGGTGAGCCTGGAATGCATGAACAGGCCGCCGCGGACGCTGTCGAGGCTCTTCGGGTGGTGTCGGAATGAAATGCCTCGGTGCCAGGACACACTCCCCTCAGCCCTCAGCCCGGCCGCGATGCTCCAAAATGGCACAAGAAAGCGGCTGCGCCTTGGTGAGGGTGGCTGCGCCATTGGCGAAGCCGGCTTCCCGGCTACAAGGGGCCGCAAGACATGGATGTGCGGATCTGGTTGTATACGGCCACGCACCGAATGCCTGCAACCTGACAAAAACCTACACTTACACACACTGAGTTGGTCGCGGGTTCTTGCTCTGATAGGCATATCTATGTGACGAGATGCTACTTTTCTGACACGACCTGCGCAAAGGGCCGGAAAATAAGCTGCAACATGCAGACGCAGCAAACTCAAAGTCCAGGTGACGCAGCCCTCCTACACAACATTTCTCAAGCACAGGAACTGGCACCTGTTGATGAGCTGGTTCGGTGCATAATATGGATAGAGCTGGCCTCGAAGGGAAACATCGACTTCTGGTTTGGCCATCGTGCGGGGCGAACCCTCCAGCTTCATAGATGAGCTAGCGACAGATCCTGGCCACCAATAGAGACCATGTAATCCTCCATCAAGCCACGCAAGCTCGCTCTGCAGCACACATTTCCCTTTTCCCAAGTGCACCCGCCAAAGAAGCCAACGATGTTGGAGTAGACACCTCTTCTCCTGGCCCAGTACCTCAGGCATCAAGGTTCTGTCACGTGCTTCTCCAGACAACAAAACCATGGACAAAGCACTTTATAAACCGGAGCGTCCGTCGAAAGGTCTCCTGTAGGTTCGACCACACTTGCACACATCAAACAAACGCACTGTCAGATCAGGCTAGCAGACTCCACTCCTGGTCTGGAACCAGATTCAAGATTTGATCTGCCACCTGAGTTCGGTAGCTTGGGCAGTGGCGACTCGGGGGTTTCCGAGTCCGGACGAAAAACCTGCAATTACGTTGACACGGCCATCCTATAACTACATAACTGGTTATGTCTGATTGAAATCTCTGAAACAAAACTGCATGTAGATGAAGGTTACATAAATTGAACAATGTGCACAGACCGAATGAGCAAATGAATAATACATTAGACCACATGTCTTGGTCTGATATCTGCTCCTCATGCATTTGTTCCTCCAGTTGTTTATGCTTAGCGTTGTCCTAGTAACAACTTAAAACTAGATAATTCTGTGACTGTATGTGCACACTTGCTCAGGGCACCACACTGGTTCAGACTCTGGGCGGCTGCAGCCACAGTTCACAGTCTTGTATGTGCAGGCAAGGGGCACGAAATCCATTCAGGCACCGTACCTGGAAAATGTGAATTTCTTGATTACGTCTGTCTTTTTTATATTTTGGTTTCGAGTAATCTAATGAAGGGCGGGGCACGCTCTTCTCATCCATATTCTTGAGGACCTCGTCCTCTTTTACAACCTGGGGTGCAAAGATCACATCTATACTATTGCAACTTCCGACCCGGATAACCAAAGTTAAAGAAAGCATCGCCTCTTCTGCTAGTTCTGCCTCTGGTGCCCGCGCTAGCCGAGCGAACAGGAGATCGATGCCTCTGTCAACTTTCTGCAAACACAACAAAATGAAGCACCCCAACACACAAGAATCACAAGATGAGTCCGCCAACAAACTCCACGCATCTTCAGCTTGACGATCGGCGTGTACCTGGTGCCACGAGGGTTCTCACCAGGTCATGCACTTTTCTCCGGCAGGGCACGCATCGGGAATCGGCACGCATTCCGTTACATCTTCCTTGCAGTAGGTTCAGAAGGTGTCCATCATGCGCGAGGCATGCAGGAATGCACTCGGGCTATTACGGCTAGGGAGAACAAGACACAGTAACACAGTACGCCAGTCGAAGTTTCTGCAAAGAGCAGCCTGACACATTCCTGCAACCTCTGTCACCAAAAAACTGTCCGCACATCGAGACATCTTTCACTACGGTCAAGATCTCGGTCTCGAACGTGCTGCTCCAGCTGGCTGGCAAACCTAGTACCACTGCATCTCATCACGGGCACGACAACGTTATTGAATCGGCGCGAGTGCGTTCTACATTGATTGACCTAGCGAATCATGGCCAAGTGGTGCAGCATAGAGTGCAGACCCAGCTGCGTTGAGAAGAAATCCTCCCGGCGAATGACAGGCCTCGCATCACAGCTGTCGGCCCAGGTGTGCTTTAGGGGAGCTCGGGGCCGGAACGGTGCAATGCACAACGTGTCGATATCGCTGCCAGGATGCACAACCCCAAGCCTTCGACGACGCAACAATGCACTCAGTTTCTTCCGTGCCAGGAAATGTCAAGTGTCAGAACGAATAGAAATGGGTCGGGTCACACAAAGAGGAATTTCGATGCTCAGCCAGCCTGTAAGAGCCCAATGTTGTGATCTTGACGGTGGACCTTGGCAAAAGAAGCTGTGCAACTCTTTCACTGCAGCGCCGCATGTCAGTTGCTGCTCGTATTCGCCAAGATGTGGAGAGTGGCTTTCTGATCTCCTCCTCGGGAAGGTTTGCTTCCACGCCTCGGCTCAGTGGAAGACTCGCTTGATACGGTGTTTTCAACGTTGCACTTCGGCTCTAGGTCCTCTGTGTGTCTGGGTTGCGAACACAGCTTGGACATCCAATCCTTGGAAAAGCCCAGCGGACTGTGCCACGTGTGGCCCATGCCGAGGCCAAAGCATGGAACATTCTCTCCAACTCTTGTAGCACGCCCTGTGCACCAACGAGACATAGACTGCCGCCCCCTGTGGAACGCGATGCCTCAGAATTTCCTGCCTGACGTCGGTCCATTCCCTCGGCAGTTTCTGTCGGAAACACTGTCTCCAAGTGATCCCGCATCCTGGGCGCAAGGATATCGCAACACGGTTGGCTCGAGGTGTCCGTCCCGGGGTGTCTGCTGCTCGCTCAAGACCAGATCATGTGCTTCAGCTTCCTGTGCTGCATGGTTTCTGTGACAAACCCGCGCACTGCCGTACACTGCTCCGTCCATCAGATGAACCCCTGCATCCTGCCTGCAGCGAAATGGGGTCGGAGACCCCATACCTGCTTCGTTGCATCTCGGCATGATGAAGCCGATGTCAAGCAGTTGTCGGACATGGCCTCACATGCGGACCATTCTTGCCGCCTTGCGGACTGGTCCCGATCCTTGCGGAGGACTTGATACCGGTTTGAGACGCTGAATTGAAAGGCTGACTCCCATGATTTTTCATGGGCAGCTTGAGGCTGGGACGAGGGCTGACTCATCTACATGGACCCAAATGTCGAGGTCCCCTCTCGTTTCCCGAGCAGCACATGAAGGCTGCGGGGCATGAGCCAGTGTCTGCTTCACACTTTGGTTTACTCAGTCTCATGCCAAGAGCTGGAAAGCTTCCTGTGCAGCCATAATCAAGTGACTTAAAGTTGAGGCGCAGTTATTGCTCGGGCCACCTGCATGTTGCACA